ATGAGCCAAATTTACACACAACAACCCAAAATAAGGGCGTGAACGAGTCCATGAAGACGCTACAATTGTATTTGCTCCAAATTCTACTTGCAAGTAGACACTTTCTTCAGCTGTTTTCCGATATTTGCTCCAAATTCTAATCAAAATAGTTAACACAATGAATAATTGTATTTCCTAACTAACATTCTTGGCCTATTTAAATTTTTTATTGCCCATGACTTCACTTTTTTTTTTTTTAGAATAAAAGAGAAAATTGAAATCATATAAGGTTTAATGTTATTCTTGCTGGGGTTAGTATGCCCAGAGTTTATTTATACCCAACAAATGGCATTGGATGTCTTCAATTGTGTAAATCATACGTGCCTCAGTGAAATACTATCTTCAATTTTCGTAATAAATTGAGGTGTAATATGCCCAAAGGCGAAACATAAATTATGTTGAAACCAGAAATAGAAATAAATCATGCAGAAAACCTGTACAAAATGGCTTTCATCAAATAATAATTATTATCCATTTTAAGCTTCTAATTTTCTAAATGAACTCAAATTGAGATTAGCGTCACAAATATCTTGCGAAGTTATATAAATACGACTGTTTTAGTCTCTTAAAATATTTTTGTTAAGATTGACTTTTATAAATTTTAAAAATAATTACTATTACTACTTCGTGATGTGATATGATTTAAAAGTGTTAGGTGGTTTGTCATCTTAAAACAGTTGTTAACATAGTATGATTAATTGCATGTCACATCATTATAAAATGATAATAAAGATTGATTTTAAAAAAATTTAAATTTACAAGTTTTAAAATCAATAGTTCTTTTAGAATTAAAATTATATTTATAAAAATTAAAAGTATATTTAAATTTATATTTGTTTATGAATATCAAATTATAAACATAAAAGCACATAACAGTTTATATTACTTATTAAAATAGAGGATCAGGAAAAGTATTATTGCATTTTTAAAATCCATATGAGATACGGAATCAACGTTACCGCATTGAATTTCTTTTGGCAATGTAAGGTGTAAACTGAAATCAACGTGACTTGAAGAAGACTTGAATGCTCTCAACTTTCAAAATCAATGTTATTGAAAAGCATTTTCCATGTTCTTTTTCCGGAATTTGAATGATAGCCGGTAAAGCCTCAAAGTATGAGGAATTCAATACCAAAGTTTAGTTTATTGTTATTGTTATTATTATTATTTTACAATTCACTACTAAAGTTTGTTACTTTTACCTTGCTCTTTGTTTATACTCCAAGCATTCAATATACATCGTTAACATCTTAAATGATCAATTAAGTTTTAATAATTTTCTAGAATGTTATTCATATGTATGCATTATATCACAACTGATCCTGTTATTAAATTTTTAATTGATGGTTACGTTAATCTTTGAATTATTGATCCTGTAAATGTTTCAAGAAATGGTTATGAAGTTTTGTATCTAAATTGGTGTGGAAAAAAAGGCGCCAGAAGAAGAAGTTGAGTTTAGATTATTTTTTTATAAATATTTAAAATATATTTAGAAACTTATTTATAAATATTAATTTTAAATAATAAAATATTAAATAACATACCAATATATGACACGTTAGATGAAAATATTGAATTTACCTCTACGTATTTAGTTCAACACTTTATAGAAAGAAATTAATATAAAAATTAAATCTTAACTCTTAATATTTTATAAACTAAATTTTAAAAAAACATATAAAAATTTATTTAAAAAATATACTATATTCGTAGAAAACGTATTTAAGCCTTAAAAAAATGGTATGTATACACACAGTAGAAACAGTATATATAACTTCAATTTATCCTTGAAATATTTCATTAGCTTTTTATAAAATCGATTCATCTCACTATCCAACATACCATTTTAATGGCTTAATGGGATTAAATAATTTTATTATTAATAAAAAATCATTTTATTTTATTAAATAATATTAAACTAAATATATAATTTTTAAAAAATTGAAAAAAATTATAAAAAAAATTTAATCTTCAACTTAAGATTGATTATGATTATAATAATATTAAAATATAATTTATCTTAAAAGGAGAGATATCTTTAGTTTGATATAGTTGGTATGTCAAAATTTAAAAATAAAAAAATTAAAATTAAAATGAAGAAATAATATTTTTTTTGCTAATATGAAGAAATAATATTTAGAAATTATATAAATTAATTAAATAATTTAAATACTCATTGCAAAAAAATCCAAATAACGTAAAAACAATAAAATATTTTTATTCAAAGTCACTTTTATGAATAGCGTTGTTTAAGAATAAAAATTTAAATTTAATATATATAATTAAAAAGATTGTCTTGCAGTGATCTTAATTTTTTCTCTCACAAACAATCGATCCTTATATTATAAATATGAATTATCGTTCTTAAATAATAATATTTGTAGAACTATTTTTATGCTTATTAAATCACATGACTTGTCTTGTTTTAAATATTTATGATTTATTTTTAAATATAATTTTTTAATTCTAATTCAATTTAAATTTTAATATATTTATTAATTTAAATAAATTTAAGTACATAACACATGAAAAAATCGTAAGTTAAAGTATAGTGCAAACCAATTAGAAATGCTTACCTCTCTTTATATAATTTATAAGTTCTAATTATTAAAGAAGAATATTTTTTATATTAACGTTTTTATTCTATCATCTAACTTTTTATGTGTTAAATATTTATTTATAAACCTTAATTTAAAATTTATATTTGAAATTCTTTATGATTTATTTCTTAATTTTAAAGATATATCTTCAATTTAATTTTATCAAATATAATAAAATATTTATTATTAACAATTAAATTTTCTACATTTTAATATTCGTAAAGTTTATTAAATTTAAAAATTGATAATTTTTTTTTAATTTAATAATATCTGTAGAAAAAATTACTAGTTAAAGGTAATTCAAAGTATCCAAAAGCATAATCTTATATACGAACAGTAAGTTTGGGACATATCTAGAAAAGCATTAGAAAAACTATTAGGATATAAATTATTTCAAACCTCCTTTTCATAAGTATTTTTAGTTTATGATGAAAACTTTGACAAATTAAAAAGTTACTTCTATATACTAAATTTACATTTTTATATATTTATTACAATATGATAACTTTTATGCACTTACATTCTCACGTAAACCACGGCCGATTCAATTTTTGTGTTCATCTTTCAAAACTTCAAAATTAAATTAAATTAATACTTTTTCTTTAATAATTCTTCAGTTAAAATACATTTTTTTTTGTTTATTTATTACTTTTTATAAATATTCAAAATATTTCAATTAACATTAAACACTTTTTCTTATATTAAAAATTTAAGTTTTTATTCTTGAATATAAAAATATCTCTTATTGTATTTTTTTTCTCCATAAGATAAGCGACTTTATCATTATTTAGTTTTTATTTTTAAAAAAATTGTGCAATTTTTCTTAAATCTCAATTTTGTAAATGTTCATGCTAAAATTTCTTGGTATGTCTCAAATCTCAATTACTTATTCTTTCAAATTAATTATTTTCTATTTTATAAAAAAAAAAACTTCATTCTCCCTGAAATTTTAAATTTCTTGCATTTTGTATTTAAATTATATATATATATATATATATACATATATTATAATTTAAGTGTATTTTATTATTAACATTTCAAGATTCAAACAATACTCTATAGGACTTTAAATATAGCATATGCATATGTGTGGACGACTTGTTCCACTCAATATTGTTGCGTAAAGTTAAAATAATTAAAAACGTTAAACCAAATTTTCCACAAGATCAATGTATCCAAAGGGGGAATGTAAAGCCAAGCAGTCAAGTAGATACGAAAAGATAGAGAGGAAATTAGTACATTGCCATGATCAATTTGTTGTTGATCACAAAATCAAACCAGTATTTCTAATGAGTTTCAAACTTCAATAAATGTAAGTAACAATTGAGTCATACATCTTGATTTCTTAATTCCAAATGCTTGACCACAGTAGGGTTCAACTGCCAGTTAATTTCCGTTTAACGAATTGAATTGTCAGTCAGAAATAAAAGATGAACGTACGTACCGTTTTGAGATTGATATAGTTTAGAGCTCTTCTTAATTCATCTATTTCTCAAAGATGGAAAATTCCAACATTAATCAAATTCTTCTATACTCAACAGTATTGGAGGAGGGAAAATATTTATCCAGTGTAGTATCTACGCTATTATACGAAATCAGTGTAATTAGAAGAAAGCCATCCAAAGTTATAAGAAATTACTCTTTTAATTTTTCTAATATGAATATTTAGATAAGTTATCGAAATTTGAATATTACCATGGTTCGTTTTAACCTTTTTATTCACATACGTAGGTGGAATATCATGTCACTTATTAAACACTTTATTAATATCTAGTTATTTTTAACTATTTTAACATTGTGCAAGTTTGTATTAAAGAAAAACTATCATTATAAAAAAATATATTATTTCTCATATTTAGTGTTTTCAAATATGTAGTCTAAAAAGTACAACAATCAATAAAAGTTTCTTAAACAACTTAAATTATCAGTACAAGAAAACATAATAACATTTTAAAATATTTAAAACAATTGATTATATTTTATAAATCTTTATTATTGTGGAAGTTAACGAACAAAAAGTGCTAAATAATTTAAAGGGTTTTTGCTATGCATCACGAGAATGTTATATTCTACTAAAGCACAAAAACATAATATTTTTTATTTATATTTTATACACTAATTAAACACATAGTTAATGAGAATAAAAGAATTATGATATAATAATTTTTTTTCATTTCCGATGCAATAATTGTTCAATAAAATTTGGTACTTCTTAACCCATGCATGTGTTATACAAGATAGAAACTTTATATTCATTTTTATATTTATATTTATCCTCGATATAGCTAAAGAAGTATATTTCTCATTAGAGGTACCTCGAGGAAACAATCTATAAATTTCCCCCAAAGTTGCAGCAAAACAATGACCATGTCAGCGGTTTTGTGTTGCCTATTCCATGTAAAGATACACGGAAGTACCCAAAAAATAAACTATAGACACGTACTTACGTGTTTGAAGGATAAGTACAGTTCCAAATGTGGATTCAGGACGGTCAGAAAATTCAAACACTTTTACTCTTTTTGTTCTATGCGTTCTCCGTTCAAATACCCTGCATTTTCTTGAGTCCACCCTTTGCCCGGACTTCCCCCCATTAAAATAATTTAAACCAACGTTTAAAAAATTAGTTCTTTTAAGTTTCTCCAAAATTTACAACTATATATATCATTTCATAATGACCCATCTTTGTCCCTTAAATCTTGTTTTCTCTCCCTCCCCACCTTAAAAACACAACTATACAAGAAGAGAAACACCTCCGTAACATCACTGAAATAACACATATTTTCAAGTAGGAAACGAATAAGTCATTCATTGTAGAAACGCCAAAACAGATTAACGTAACTTACTTAGCTTGTTGAAGGAGCCATGCAGCGTTTGCCAGCAAAATTGTGCCGCAAAATCGCGCGCCCAGCATGCGACGTTTTCATAAATCATCGTGGGATTGACACAAAGAGAAGCGTTGCGGGGTTGTTGGACGATAGACTTACGAGGATGAGAATAAGGTGTTTCTTGGACAGCAAGAACATGAAACCTGGTGATAGGCTTTTTGATCATATTGATAGGGCCATTCTCGGTTGCAAGGTTGGTGTTGCTGTGTTCTCTCCGCGTTATTGTGACTCTTATTTCTGTCTTCACGAGCTCGCTCTTCTCATGGAGTCCAAGAAGAGGGTTGTCCCTATCTTCTACGACGTGAAACCTTCGCAGCTTCGGGTCAAGGACAATGGAACATGCCCCCCTCAGCAGCTTCAAAGGTTTAGTTTAGCACTTGAGGAAGCTAAACTCACTGTGGGATTAACCTTCGACTCTTTGAATGGGTATACATTTACATTTTCTCTCGCTTTCAATCTTTTTTATGTAATTTCTTATTGGTGGAGGCTTGTTAGTTATAATTAACATTTCATCTACCTAATTCACGGTAATTAAACACCATTAAGGTTGACGTAGGTTTTTATAGTAAAATTTTAATTTTGATGATATGGGTTTTCAGGGACTGGTCGGAGCTGCTGAGAAATGCTTCGGATGCGGTGATTGTGAACTTGCTGGAGGTGGAGGAAGAAGAGAAGCACATGAGAAAGCAACGTTGAATACTTCAATGTTCGTCGTTGGATAACTGCAATATATATATTCGTTTATTTTTTCGTATATAATTAACATATATGGGATCCAAATGAGAGAGACCATGCGTTCCCTTTAACAACACTCGATTCTTTGGCCTGAATTAGCTTAATAATTGGTTTAGGCTTCCATTCATTTGTATTACCAAATTCTTTTATTCTCCCCTTTTTCATATCCTTCTATTTTCGTAGTGCTTTACCAAATTGTACTTTTTCTTTTCTTCTATGGGAGCAATTTGCTTGAACCCAATTTACATTGCGTCTTATTTATTCTATCCCATAATTCGGGATTTATAGGTCATCTGTAACAATTTGAAGGTTAATTCAAGAAGGTGTAGATTTTTCTCTTTATCTTCTTCCTTCTAATTTTATTTTATATTTTTCTTTTATCTCTCTCTAACATTATTAAAACTATTGTGAAAAAAATAATTGTGGCGGAATATCATCACCCTGTATATATATGATCATTGCATTACCCTTCATAGTTTAACGTTTAATACAAGCATATACATTATATATTTAATTGTTCGCTAAAACAATGTTGCATACAAACTCTCATTTTACGCAATCACGTGTCTTTCTTATTTTATAATACACATCCTCTTAGTTATTATATCAAATCTGTAATAAATAATAATAAGCAATATTTTATCAATTAAATTGTTTTGGAGATTTTCAAATTGAATCCAGAAACGTAAACATATATATGCATTTTATATTTTAATTTACTTTTTATCATCACTAAAATAATCCATATCAATTACATTTAGATATTTTTAAATTACATTTTAGATGTATTTAAAATACTTATGAAATGTTTGCTAGCATAAAATATTATAAAAACCTGCATATGTACGAAAGCTAATTTCATACCTTATATGTCGTAAAATATAATTGGCAGATACTATCTCTTTTACCATTAACTTAAATCATTAAGCGCAATTGATTAATTTGAAATTTATCAAAATTCATACAAAGTGCATTCCTATTGAATAGCAACGCTAAATTAAAAAAAAAAAAATTAAGGTCCGTTAGTTTAAAATTTTAAAAAAAAAATCTGAAATTATATAAAATCAAAGATGATTTTTTAGATAATTTTATTTAAATAGAATCTAATTTATATTTAATTATAATAATGAAAAGTACTTTTTATTTGTGTGATTTACTTGAAATAATCTCTTAGATTCTTTTTAAAAAATTTAAAAAAAAAACTGATTATTTTGAGAACTTAATTCTTAAAAAAAACTAAACATCAGATAATATCTCAAAATTGATGTTTTAACCCCCAAAAAATATTCTGTTACTAACTCAAAATCCATTAATTTGTTGTTAAATTTTATAAATTAATTAAAATTATATATTTTTATTTGTAACTTTCTTTTCATGAGAAGGTATCTAAGGATCAAGTTTTGAGACTCCAAAACTATCTCTATTAACCTAATCAACTTTAGTTTAATATGTAATTTTGAGTTTAAATTATAGGGGGGAGAGAGAGAGAGAGAGATTTATATCCCATAATAATTTTATTTGCAAACGATTTTTATTAAAAATAAAAGAAAAAATGCAATAAAAAATTAAATATGATTTTCAAAATTAAAATATATTAAATTTTGATCTTAATCTTATATATTTATATATATTAGTAAAATTAATATATTTAAAAGACTAAAAATATAGTTCGCAAAAATATTTGAAATGTTAACCGACGGATCACACAAACTAATGAAAAAAGGTTTAAAGGATCTCAAACATAGATGAGCATCATCCATTGAACATTTACTTCATGAATGATAAATGTCATCTATATTTGACAAGAAACCATAGATAGACATAGCTTTTGTGAGGTTCACTTAGCAAGTAGCAAGAAGTTATTACTTTGTTACGTTAGTTCTTTTGTTTGGCAAATCCTCTGCAAATCCTCTGGAGTCTCAATTTAAAGTTAGAAGCTGGCTTGACAACTTTGGTATCTTATTATCGGAGAAAGCGTAACAAAATTCAGTCTCGTTTGATACCGTCCACCGACAAAGAGAGGACATAATGCGGCAGAAAGTTTATGGTGTAAATTCAGGGCTACTTCTTAAAGATAATTAAAAAAATTAAAGTGGGTCTCTAACTCTGCAATGGGGCTTACCATTTTACTATTTAAGATTCTAGAAACCATATATCTTCAACTAATTCCCAATATGCAGCAAAAAATATAAGCCTAATGGTAATACTATTTAAGATAATTATATTTTTATGATTGTTTCAATGTTATGTAAAATTGGCTGAATATAGAAGTGCTACATAACTAAATTAAGACAGATAAATATTACACAAAAGCAAATTTTTAAAGATGCTGTCATTTATTACTAAAATAAATAAATAAATAAATTTTCCAATTAGTTTTATAAATGCTAAAGGTTTTGACAGTGATGGAGTGAAAAAAATATAAGCCTCGTGTTCAAGTTTCAATAAATTCAACTTTCTAAGATATTTAAAGAAAAATTTTATCATTTATAAATATTTTATTCGATTCAAATAAAATTATCTTTTACAAAGAATATCTATAATTTTATAAAATTATAAGAATTAAGTAAATTAATCTTCCTTCGAATATATTTTGTATTTTGTTTTATAGATGTATCTTGAACGTTTCTATTGAGTAATTAAGACATCTTACTTTTTTTATATATAAAAATACTACTGATTAGACTAAAATATTAAATAGAATTTCAATTATTTTAATTTTTTAAAATATAAAAATGAATAAATTTATAGGTAATTTCTTTAGTAAAAGATATATATAAATTGATAAAATTGTTTATGAGATTATTACATGTTATAATATTATATGTATATAAAATATATTTTTATTTCTTATATTTTGTAAAATTTTAATTTTATCCTCTTATTTTTATATTAGCCCCTAATATTTTTAAATTCAATATTCTTGACCCCTCTCAGTAAATTGGCATAACAAAAAATTCATATACGTTAGTTAATTTTTTAGTTAGCGCTATTATCACTAAACACTAAAAGTATTGAATTTGAAATAAACGAAGACCAAAATAATATATATACATACATACATACATATATATATATATATATATATATATATATATATATATATAAATTAAGAGACTAAAAGTAAAATTTAGTAAGATATAAAAAATAAAAATATATTTAATTCTATTTAAAATCATTTGTGATATTCTTTTTAATGGTAATAAATTTTAGTTTTTTTTTAATTTTAATTGATCACATCTAGTTCTTATCATTTTTTAAATTTATTTTTTAATTTTAAAATTATATTTATTAATTGATAAAAGTATAATAAATTGATGTGATAATTTGTATAAATTTATTTAAAAATTTAAATTGAGAAGGTTTTTGTAATATTTTATACATGTTATTTTTATTTTAATGTTTATATATATATTTTTATAAATTTAAACAAATATATATATATATATATATATATATATATATATATATATATATATATATTAAGTGTAAGATGACATTTTAATGTGGGAGAATTAATTTGAATAATTATAAAATAAAAAATAAAATATGAATAATTAAAACTGAAAAATCAAAATTACATATGGATTGAAGTATTAAAATTAAAAATATAATTATACCTAAATTTTAAAGAGAAAAATGATATCTGAGTTCAAAATAAGAAAATATTATGATATAAAAAAAGGTCAATAAAAGAAGAAAATTAATCGTATTCCTAAAAAAATAATAAAGTTGGAACTTGTGACCTATATAGATGAGAGATCCTCTTAATCTGGTTGACTAATTCTTGTATATATGTAAGATTCTTTCCGCGATTTTTCTGTATGATATAAAATTGATGAGGGACACGCATAGAAGAAGTTACGCGTAAATAAACAACGGCAGTGCAACCACAACCACACTATATAGTGCACACACACATCCAACGTTGGTGGGGTTGACAATTTGCTCTTATTAGCGAGTGAATTGAAACAAAATTCCATCGTCTTTTCACTCTAATTTTCACTTTTTCAGCCACTTTCTAACAAAAGAGAAACTCAGAAGGCACTTCTTCGGCATGGTAACAGTTGACATTATATAATCATTTAATCTTTCTTTCTATCAATAACGTACAATGTTCATTTTTATGCCTTTTTTTATTATTATAATGTTTTTATACTTTAAACCAAAGCAGTGTAACCAATATACTATGCTTCAATTACAATTGCAGCAAAAATTCCTGCATGGCTTGGGTTTTCTTAGAAACTTTATGGATTGGATTGAAGCTTACGTTATGTCACCAAATTTTTATTTATTAGCATGCAATACTTTCTAAACTTTTTCATTTGGCTGCCAAATTACCAAACGTCAAGCACCATACTTAATATATTGGGAAACAGGAATTAGGCATATACTATTGCAGATTACTTCATGCTTTCTATAATATGGCTTCTATAATATTTTATATAATTTTCGTTTAACTTTTAAATTTCTTTATCAATCTGTACAAATTAATTACATGTTAAAATTGTATTATAATTTTTGTGTTAATTATTAATTATATATAAATGAGAAATTTAATTTTCAGTATTGCAAGAAAAATAAAAACTAAAGTTGAGTATTTAAAATTAGATAAATTAAGTTGCAAGTAAGGTAAAATACAAGAATAAAAACAGTAATTGAAAAACAAAAGAACTTCACTAACCAATATTTTAAAAGTATTAATTAAAAAATTAATTATATTTTTTTATAAAATTACACTAAAAATATATTAAAATTATGATTATAGTGTTTTAATAATACATTCTAATAAAAAAATATTCTCTTTTTTATTTATAATACTGTAGGATACTGATTAATATTTACTGAAAATTAAACAACATAACTCCTCGCTTTTTAGAGTTGTTTATGTCTATATGGATCTGAATTACTCATCACATTAAAATTAGAGTGAAGATTTAAGATGACAATTAGACTGTGCT